GGGCGGCCCAGGCAGTGGACAAGGACGGGGCCTTGAGGGGACATCCCACACTTGGGGGCCGAGCGGCCCCGGGAAGGGTGGGTTGGGAGACAGTAGGAGAAGGGGCTCCCGGCTATTAGAGGTGCATTTGGCTTGGGGAGTGGTTCAGCGAGGTCAGGAGAGGCAGGACAGCCATACAGGTGGCCCAGAAGAGGGGACGACACAGGGGCTGAGGACAGTGGTCAGGAAAGCTGCATGGGGTGGGGGCCACTCAGGGGTCAGTCACAGCAAGAAACCTGGAGCTGGAGGGGCAAGGGCAGGAGTGTGACCAGAACCTCAGGACCAGGGCTGCCAGTGGTGGAGGGTGACAGCCTGGCCTCCAGTTCCTTCCCACCTGGGTCTGGGTCCAGCCTCCAGGCGGTCAGCCCCTCCTGGCTCTTGGGAGGCAGAGGCAGAAGGAGGCAGCTTGGATGAGGCCATGAGGTCCGGACAGACTCCAGGGCCCAGAGCCCAGGTTTGCCACCTTGAGCCAGGGCTAGAGCCTCAGACAACGGATGGCCCCATCCCTCGGGAGCCTTGGGGTCAGGCCGGGGAGGAGGGACGGGTTGTGCCTGTAGGAGGCCCACTCCACGTGGGCGGACGCGACTCACCAGAGCTGCAGCTTCACCCGTCGCCCGTCCAGCAGGATGGTGGTGGTCTTGTAGTCCACGCCTGTGAAAGGGGGTCGGCTGAGAGGCTCGGCTGCAAAGCGCCGCTGAGTTGTCCTAGCTAAAAGGATTCTCCGGGGGCAGGCTGGGGGCGCACCAGGCGGGTGGGCGGGGCCTGTCCGCGGGTCCCCCGAGGCAGCTGGCGTCATGCCCCTTGTCCCGGCTGACCCTCCTCCCGTACCACCTCCTGCCCTCCTCCTGCCACCTCAGTTCTGCTCCCAGGTGAGGGGCCAGACAGGACACTGCGACAGTGTCCCCCAGGTGATCCCACTCAGAATATAAAGTAAAAACACGTGGGATGGGACATTAGCTATGAAGCACTGTGTCAACGATGCAGACGATATCTAGATGATTCTTTTCTTTTTAATAATAAACCTAGAAAGCAGACTTCTTGCATACAGAAACTTTGTACCTGCAACACACACTAAACGTTAATGTTTGGTCCATGGGTTTGATGATAGAAAGACACTGCTTTAGCTATGCCAAGCTATGTGGTTACCTGAGGCAAATATGTGCGAATGTGTAGAAACGTGTGTGTGTGCGTGCGTGTGTGTGTGTGTGTGTCTGTGTCTGTGTCTGTGTGTTTGTGCACGTGCACGCGCAAAGGGGACAGGACTGGCCCCAGTTGTCACTAGCAACCTCTGGGTCGCAGAATCTGGGTAGTTTTTACCTTTTTTTCAAACTTTCTCTATTTTCAAGTTTTCGTCAATGAGCAAGTATTTCTTCTAAAATCAGAAAGTGCAATAAACATTTTTAAAAGGAGAACTATTCCTCCCCACTCTACTGGAAACCGGTCTCCAGCTGCTTGGGCACCCAGTGTTCACAGAGCGTGTCACCCAAGAGAGCCGGAGCCACTGAAAGAGCTTGTGTCGCGTGACTGGAGAAAGCAAGAAAGGAAAAGGAAGCCCCCCCCCCACCCCCGACCAGGGACCAGTGCTCTGCAGTTTGTGGTCACAAGGGCCCCCTGCTGGTGAGGCCACCTGGAGCTTCACGGCCTCGGATTGCTCCACCGATGTCCCACTCACTGCTGTGCCTCAAAGCACTCGGGCCTGGAAGAGAGCAGCTGGAGACAGGACATGACCGGCCTCTGGATGCCTGGACAAGGGACGCTGAATTAGGGCTCTAAGGGGCCAATGCTGGCGGCAAAGACTGCAGGGGGGCCTGGCCTGGAGGTGGCCTCAAGCGGGCGTGATGCACCAGTGGCTGTCCTGGCCGCTGGCACGGCTCCTCTGAAATGCAACACCAACGGGGTCGCTATCAAGTGCTTGAAACGCTTCCCTGGAATGATCTAGAATGTTAACCCGCCCTCCCCTCAAAAGCCCCAAGGAAGAGAATGTCACATTGAACACGTCTCCTGTCTTTAAAGCAGGTTGGGGACAGGCAATGTGCCCGGTGGCGGGGTGACAACAGGTTTGGCTTCACGCTCTACAGCGCGTCACCTGAGGGTTTGGGGCACAGCACGGACCTTACAGAAAAGTGAGGCGGTAGCTTCGGGCCTTGCAAAACTGTTCTTGTCAAGGACTTCTTCACAGCCCTTCAAAATCCCACTACACTCCCCAGAAGGGGGCCTCGAATGCTGGGGGGCTCACGGCGTGAGACACACGCACACACACACACACAGAGTAAGTAGAACATATACGCATGTGTATAATACGCAAATAGGATATATGCATAAATGGGATATGTACATACACACGTACAATAAGTAAACAGGATATTTTCACATTTACTCTGGAAGATGCGTCTTCCAGCAACTTCGAAGTTACTTTGAAACATCTAGTTCTCCCCTCAGAACGCTGCAGATGTGCAGTGTCCCCGCAAAGCAGCAAACACGCCTGGGGGCCGTCTTAATCCGGGTAACTGCGGCCGCGGCAGCCCGTTCCGGTGGTGAGGGGGGACCCTCGCCCTTCCCAGGCTGTGGAGGTGGCTGGCTTTCGTCCCTCAATTGGTTAACCTGCTGCCCAAGCTGGGTGGCGTCTTTGATTTAGAAAGTGTCCTCATGTACTTATTTTTCAAGTCCAAACCATTTTTTAATGCTTTTCATAAGAGAATTCATTCCTGATCCTCTTTTAAAGCACCCTACCAGTTTTTTAAAACTATAGTTGCTTTTTCTTTTCATCAAAGTCATGGATATGCCTGGTTGCAAGTTCTGAGTCAGCCCTGACCGGCCCCAGCTCCCCTATCTGTAAACAACACACTATGCTCAGCTTCAGGCACTAACTGCCTTTCCTGAAGGTGAAAGTGTCTGTCTTCCTCTGTTCCCCCTCCCCTCCCCCTCCCTCTCCCTCTCTCACACAGTGTAATTATGTTGCTGTTTAGCTAGATCAGCATTAGATCAGCACCCTACTACCAGGTGGACCCTGTCCACAATGAACCATGTGGGATACTGTGTTGATTTTTTCCTTCATGTACAACTTTTTGTTTTAAGTGGAGTTGAAAGTTGCCTTTTTGTTTATTTGCTTAGTTTTCTCTGCGTTTATCGCTAATTCATCCTACAGTCTCCCCGAGGTATCTACACCTTCTCTCAGGGGGCAACATTCCAACATTCACGTGTTTACCTTCAGGGGGGCAGTTTCCAGAGCTTGTCCTGGGGACGGGAGCTCAGTGGTCCTGGGCGTCCCCCTCCCACTGCTCGGGTCCCACGCCCCCCCCTTTGTTTCCCACGCCCTCATCTTCCTTGAGTTTGATGGGCACAGAGTCGAGGCAGGAGGTGACCGTCCTCCAGAAAGTGCAGGCATCGTTCCCTACGGCCTGCCCTCCGACTCCTGCTGAGAAGCCGGGGTCAAACGGTGCTCATCCTTCAGCACAAACCTGGCTCTTCCTCTCGGAAGTTCAGGCAGAGAGCAGGTTCGGGGAGAAAGAGCGACAGAGCTGGGCCTGGAGAGTTGGCCAGGGACCCAGCCCCAAGCTTGCGCCGC